GCAGGTCCGCTCTAGCTATCTGCTGACACGCTAGCAGCAGCCCATAATTTGAAGGACTGCTATTCCACGATCGTTACGTTACATGAACTCCACGCAGGGCAACTGACACCAATTCAAGTCAAGGGTATCCTTGGGATGGTCGGCCTCAGCATTAAGGTCACCCTAACCATTGATGCGGAATCTGTCTTCAAGGCCTTGTCAAGCAAAGACTTGAAGAAGCCGACTGAATGCACCCTCCTGGGCCGCATCAGGTGGATGCGGCAAATGATGGGGCGCGGTATCGCGCGTAGCGCGCAGTCGTGTGACACCGGCGACATGACTGCAGATGGTCACACCAAGGGGAGCATTGACCGAGACATGCTCTTGCAAGTTATGGAGGGAATGCAATCCTTCAAACATGATTTGAAGCGACATACTCCTTACAGGACCGGCCAGGCGAAAACAATTGAGTCGCCCGAGGAGTAATAAGCTACGAGGTAACCTGCCAAGGTTGAGCCCGTTGGCTGCTGCCTTTCCTTTGTAGCATAACTGCTTTGCCGAATTAGGCCAGACGCGGACTCACGCTTCGTCCTCTCCCCCCCCCGATTCTGAACGAGGAAGGGCAACAGCGAGAGGTATCAAGCGTTTGTCCGCGGCCGCTTGGACTCAAGCGACCGGCCGCCTATTTGACTGTGCCGCTCTGCGGCGGATTGTCCGACATCAATGCGGAAAACGACCCCTTGAGATGCCATCTGGCCGCTCACGCGGCCATCTCATATCTCTTGCTGTATAGTTACTACGATACAACAGAGTTGGACGGATACTACGCCTAAGGCGTACTACTTGGTTGACCTTACAACCTCATTTTAAACTTGTTGGATCGATTTGAGGCCGTCTTGGGCGTTTGGGAGCGGTCTTTCGGCAACTCGGACCATTATTGGACCATTTTGGGGGTCTCTTGGGGCTCTATTGGCCCCTCTTGGGGCCTTCTTGGGCCTTGAGAACTCATGCGACAAGCCGCGGGGAATCGCGACAAGCCCCGATGGATGTGGCAATTTGGGTTCCTGGACCCGTTTATATATATATATATCTTAAAAATGAAAAATGGAGAAGAAGAATGCGGATAATGGTTTGTAAGATATTTGAAAGGGTTATGACATGCATTGAGTTTTCCAGTTGGTCCGAAGGTGTTCAAAAGTGTCTAGGGGGTCTTCGGAATGCAGTAGATGGACGAAAGGGGAGGAGCAGGAGGACCAGCAGGGGGATATCGTACTCCTCGTCGTTGTCGTCGTCCTCCTCCTCCTCGTCCTCCTCCTCCTCCTCCTCCTCCTCCTCCTCCATCCTTCCTTCCTCCCTCCCTCTCTCCCTTCCTCCTCCTCCTCCTCCTGCTCCTCCTCCTCCTCCTCCTCCTCCTCCTCCTCCTCCTCCTCCTCCTCCTCCTCCTCCTCCTCCTCCCGGGGACCATAACCCCAACGCGTGGAGGTCACCCTTGGTGACGGAGGTGGGGACCCACTCGGGTGCCCCTGTTCGTTTTAGGGAGGAGGAGGAGGAGGAGGAGGAGGAGGAGGAGGAGGAGGAGGAAGATGAAGAAAAGAGGCAGAAGGAGAAGGAATTGGCGTAGCATCTTCTGAGACGTTGGAAGTGCGTCTGAGAGGGTTTTGTAGTAGTGATGGAGATGGCGGAGGAGAAGGGAACAAGAGGAGGAGGAGGAGGAGCAGGAGCAGGAGCAGGAGCAGGAGCATCAGCAGCTGCCACGTGCACCCATCTCATGCAGCCTGCGCCTTCGTTTCCTCGTTCGTCGCTTCAACATTGAGAGCCCCATATCGAACATGGCCTCGACGTCACCGTTACAGCTTCGCGCGGCCCATGCTTTTCATGCGTCGGTCCCAGCACCTGCCAAGATGCACGGGGCGTCATATCCCTCCTGCGCGCGCGCTTCTGTCAAAGATTTCCTCCTGCGGACTGGGCGCTCCGTCACTTGCCACTTGGTGCTGCCGTCGGCTGCCAGCCCCCACGTCGGCTCTGACTCGGCCTCGCCCTTGGCCTCCCTGTCCGCAACGATGTGTCCTGCGCGGTGCCGCGGGGACCCCGAGCTGGCTCTACAACCCCCCCGCCCGCGGAGCACGCGCGCGCGCGCGACACTCTCGTCGCGGCCTGGAGCTTAACCCTGGGGTCCTGGGGTCCTCGATACACTACAGTCGGGGCCCTGAAGAAGGAACCCTTTTTGTTGGGGAGGGGCTCCTCGTTCCTTAAGTGTCTCACAGCTTGCCTCAGGCTTTCCTTATGTTTTCGACAGGAAATCGAAGGTTAACTTATGGAAAGAAGGGGCCCCGTTCCTTGTTTAGGGTTCCTTGGGTCAACGCCCCGACTGTATGGCTGTCTGTGTTGGGGGGGCTCTGATTTGAGCTGTCTTAGTGGGTTCTGAGAGGGTCTGGGCAAAAGGCAGCCTTTTCATGGCTGGTTTGAGGGGGTCGAAAATTGACCGTCTGGGGGAGGGGAGACCCCCTCTCTTTTATTACGAGACGTGGAGTACGCTTGACGCGGCCGTGTGCGGGACCGCTGCCGAGCCCTCCACGCTCTGGACGGCGTCCGCCACGCTGACCGCTGCCGAGCCCTTCACGCTGAACACCTGGGCGGGACCGCTGCCGAGCCCTTCACGCTCTGGACGGCGTCTGCCACGCGGACCGCGACGACGATGTCCTGCTCTCGCACCTCCTGCTCCAGCCCCAGGCGTCCGACAGCGTGATGTTTGCGCTGCGCAGCCCCAGAGTTCCCGACTCCTTCCCCAAGGGTCGATTTTCGTCCTGGGCCAATGCTTGACAGTCCGGGGGCCCAATACGGTCGGGATGTGTTTGGATAGCGTGTCGCTCCGCGGGTTCTGGCCCACCGCGCTTCAGCGCGACACGCTATCCGCTCCCCAGTCCCCAAGCGTCAACGTTCCGAGCTTCTCCTAGCCTTCCGCCCTGCGGAGCGGGGCGACACGCCATCCGTTTGCAAGGCATTGTGTGGAGCTGGGGCCGCCGCCGCGACACGCTAAACTAAAGTTCCTGACCGAACAGGCCGGGGTACAAGAAATCGCACAGTCGGAGATCTGGGGCTTGGCGCACCTCCGAGCGGGGGTCAGCCCTAGAGGCGCCGCTGGCCAGCCCGCCCCGCCACAGGAGCACGGGCGCGACGGAGAGCGCCATCCGCGCCCCGCGCCGCACCTGCATCGCCAAGACCCCATCGGCCTTTGGGCGCCTACCCCCACCAGAAATCCAAAGAAAAAAAAAACAATTCTCAGAGACTCCAGATGTCGCTTGATGGGGGCAAGACTAGTGACCGGACCCTGGGCATTCTCTTGTGGCCCCCTCTGTCGTAGAATCTTCGCACGTCGGGACCTAGACCGATGTGCAAGAAGACGCTTGGAGCTTCGCACGTCGGGACCTAGACCGATGTGCAAGAAGATGCTTGGAGCTTCGGACGTCAGGACCTAGACCGATGTGCAAGAAGACGCTTGGAGCTTCGCACGTCGGGACCTAGACCGATGTGCAAGAAGACGCTTGGAGTGAAGCCCATGCTGTTTGCTTCGAGCTTTCCTGACCCTCAGCGGGGGCGCGCCCGCGGGGCGGGGCGCCCAACGGCCGGCGCACGGGCGCCGCGGGGCGGCCCACGGGTTCGACGCCTCCTCGCCGCGCAACAGGCGGGTGCAGAGCTGCTTCCCCGTGTTCCGCCTTCCAGGGGCCCTCCCGGGGGGCCCAGGACCGTCCATCAACGACTCTGGGCGAAGAGCGGGTCCTGGGGGAGTCAAGGGAGGAGAAACCACCCAGACCGGACAGCCGGCGTTCGCGGAGCGGCCTCGGGTGTTTTTTCTGAACAGCCCTGCCCGGTTCGATCCCTTCCGTCGGGGCGTTTCGCAAACGGCCTGGCGTGTCGGGGTGGTTCTTATGGGGGCGGATGTCTTGCCCTCCAGGGGGAAGGCCCCAAGGGTCCAGGGCCCGCTTCTCGGGGGCGGCAAAGAGGGGGGTGAGGACTAGGGGGGGTGGATATCATGGCGGGGGCCATGATATTTCCCCAGATTTCATGGCGCCTCTTCTTGCTTCATTACGTCCCTGGCCCCCCCGCTGGGCCGCGCACATGCCGCCGGTCATGATTTGCACCCCCCCTCTTGGACACCCCCCTCTTGGCCGCTCCCGAGCTTCCTTCCGGCCCCGCTTGCTCCACGCCAGGCCCCGGCGGCCCCTCCAACCAGACAGCTCCGCACGGCGGCGCCGCAGCTCCCCGTGCCGGGCGGCGCCCCCCGACCACGGCCGAGGCCAGGCCGGCTGCGCGCACTGGAGGCGCGCCACCTCGCCGGAGTGGCCCGTGCTGCGGGCCCTCCCCGTTCGGGGGTGGACACGTCGATTAGCGAATTGGCCGTTTTCGGTTCGCGAGAGGGCGTCGCGGCCACCATTTTTGCGGGTCCAGGTCCGTCGGTTTCGGTCCCAGGCCGTTTTTTCACTAAAGGGAGGTTTGTCCACCGCCGACCCGCGCTGGCTTGCGCCGGCAGCGTCGGCACGGGTGTGGCAAGGGCGGGGGGACGAAGGCCGCCAGCAGTTCTCTTGCCCATCTTTGCGCAGGGCTCCCTGCCGGCGTCGCCGCGGGCGTGGCTCGCTCGACGCGAAAAGGCACCTGCCCCGTATTGCGGCCGCTGTCGCCTCGGGGCCACGCGTGCCGTCGTGAGCCGTGCGTGCGCCCGTTCTCCGTGCCCCTCTCGGGCGTGCCCTCGGCGTGCCGAAAGAGCTGGCTGCCCGCCGCTGCCCCCGACAGCCGCGCACCAGAGATCGCTCCTGCGCAGGGTCACCCTGGCAGGAAGCCAGTCCTCCTCCTCCTCCTCCTCCTCCTCCTCCTCCTCCTCCTCCTCCTCCTCCTCCTCCTCCTCCTCCTCCTCCTCCTCCTCCTCCTCCTCCTCCTCCTCCTCCCTCCTCCTCCTCCTCCTCCTCCTCGTCCTCCTCCTCTTTCCTCCTCCTTCTCCTCCTCCTCCTCTTCCCTCCACCTCTGAGTGTTCGTCCTCCGCCCGAAAATCGCTCCGCGCGCGCCTCCGCGCGGCGGATCGCTCCGCGCGCGACCGCCGCTGCAGCTGCTCCGGGATCGCTGCTCGGCGGCCCCGCGCCACCATGCTCGCACCGGCCGCCCACCTCGCAAGGGCGAGCTCGAGCCGGCTCGAGCCAAAATGGCCACGGCAACCAGAAGAACAGTGAGAGGAGGGAGGGGGGAGGAGCCTGAGGAGGGCGGGCGGACGGACGGCGGGAAGGACGGAAGGAATGAGGAAGAGGAGGAGGAGGAGGAGAAGGAGGAGGAGGAGAAGGAGGAAGGCGGGAGGAGTAAGAAGAATAAGAAGAAACAAAAAGAAGGATGAAGCAGGAGGGAGGACAAGAGGGAAGAAGGAGGAAAAGGAGGGGATGAAGAGGAGGAAGAGGGCAGCAGGGAGGGGGAGGAGAAGTAGGAGGAGGAGGAGGAAGAGGAGGAGGAAGAGGAGGAGGAGGATGAGGAGGACAGGGAGAAGGAGAGGGAGAGGGAGAGGGAGGGGGAGAGGGAGATGGAGGAAGTCCCAGGAAGAGAGGGGCAAGAAGGAGACAAAAGAGGAAAGGAGGAAAGAAGGAAGGGAAGGAGGAAGAGGACGAGCAGGGGAAGGAGGAGGGAGATGACAGCTGGGAGAGGGAGAGAGAGAGGAATGGCGTAAGGAGACAAAACAAAGGGAGTGCGGGCGGAAGGGAGTGCCGTGGGAACGAGGAGGCAGATGACAGCAGCACGGGGGGAGGAGTGGCGCAAGGGGGGATGACGTAGGGACGGCGGATGGAAGGGAAGGCAGTTAATGGAGTGAAAAACAGTGGATGAGAATCGACCGAAGGAAGGAAGGAAGGAAAGACGAGGACAGACAGGAAAAAATCGAGAACAGAGCCCAGGAGAAGAAAGACGGAGAAGGATCAGTTTGGATCCTCTGCTCACCACCATCTGTCACGAAAGGCTCGGGTGGGCAGGCAAGAAGCTGAGCAAGCCTGAACCCCTGACCGAGCTCATGACGACGACGTGCAACAGAAACGGTGCGCCATCTCGGAACCGCTGAAAACTACTCCACCGTTCTTCGCACCAGGCTTCTCCACTCGCGAATTCGCTCCTCGACAATGTGCCACACCTGCCTCCACCACTAAGCAAGTAAAGGGAAAGACGGCGAATAATGGCAATCGGACATAACCAGGGAGGGAAGGAGGGAGCGGAAGGGGAGGGGGGAAGGAGAAGGAGAAGGAGGAGGGGGAGGAGGAGGAGGAGGAGGAGGAGGAGGAGGAGGAGGAGGAGAAGGAGCGAGGGAGGGAAAGAGGGAGTGAGGGAAGGAGGAGGAGGAGGAAGAGGAGCAGGGAGAGACGGAGAGCAAGAGGAGGAGGGAGGGACGGATCGATGAAGGAGAAGGTCCTGTTGCTCTCCTCCGTTACTACCTGCGTTGCTACTGAAGGGGTTGCGGGGCCGGACGTGCGTGTCATTCAAGAGAGCGGTGCGCGCACACGCAGCGCAGCCGATTGGTTGCCGCAAGCGTGACCCCGCGGTCACCTTGAAAGCCAAGCACTTCACGTGGACGTTGACGGGTATGCCGACCGAGGCCCGTCCTCAGGACCTCGGTCACCAACAGGGGCACGAAGATCGTCGCGCTTCGCGGTCAGGGCCGGAGAGCTCCTTCGAGGGCGCGAGCAGGATCGCGCTTTGCGTTGCTCCAGGCGAGAGGTTTGTGAGCTCACAAGGAGTGGAGCACTGTCGCTTGTGAGACCTTATCACGATGCAGCGGCGACGGCGAGACGGCGACGGTGGCGGCGGCGGCGGCGGCGTCGGCGACGACGACGACGATGCTGGTTGCGACGACGACGCCGACAACGGCGACGGCGATGGAAACGGTAGCGACGGCGAGGGTGACGGTGGCGGTGGCGGCAACGACGTTGACAGTGACGGCGACGATGACGGTGGTGGCGGCGACGACGACGGCGACCCCGGCGGCGGAGGCGATGGCGGCGACGGCGACGACCGCGACGGCGGCGACGGCGACGACGGCGACTGACGACGTCCTACCTGTTCTTCCTGCTCGAATTGCAGGCAGACACGCGCTCGGTAAAAATTTGGTGATGAAGTGCACGCCGTAGGCTGTTGGAACGCCCGCACTCGGTAAACATGCGGCGCTGGAGGGCGCACCCTTGCCTTCGGCACGCGTTGCTGGAAGGTCTGCACCCGGTGAAAATTAGGCACTGGAGCGACACCCCGTTTTGAGGCTAGATAGATGAGTAGCAGGGGGAGGGAAAAGGTTCGGGGGGCAGAGGTGCTGACATTGCACTCAGGCCTCGTTCTCAGAAACAGGCTTACGGACGCAGCGATGAGCATGGAGGGCATGACGACTGACCCAGAGCTGCCCCGAGACATACGTACACGTCGCGCCCTTGTGGTTTGCAAGCAGCAAAGTTCTCTCGACCGCAGGGGCTGAGATTCATGATCCTCGGCCTGCGTGCCTGCCGGCACAGTTCGTGCACGCCTACGTGCTCCTCTGCAGCCACGGTTTTCGTGGCCTGAGTCAACACCGGCTCGAACGTCACGCCAAGATGTGTCACAGCAGCAGCCAGAATCCACGAGCAATGGAGCGCCAGTGGAATGTCGACCGAGCCACACGAACCCCGGGACTGAAGCTGGCGATTCTTCGGCCACCCACGAAACGGGAGAAGTTGCTTGCTTATTGCCGGGAGTGGCAGGAGTGGCAGGAGAAGGAGGAGGAGGAGGCGGAGGAGGAGGAGGCGGAGGAGGAGGACAACGACGACGTCGCCGCCGTCGTCGACGGCATCGCCACTGTCGCCGCCGGCGCCGTCGTCACCAGCGTCGCCGCCGTCGTCCCGGGCACGGGAGGCGCAACAGAGGTTCGAAGGTTGCCTGGCAGGTGCGCCAGGGCACTCGCGCGCTGCGGCCGGGGACGCGAGAGCCGCCCCGCTCCAGGGGCTTCGCCGCAGAGCTCGAAGAGGATCGCGCCTCGTGCGGCGCGAGGCGCGAATGTGCGTGACCTGGAGGATGCTGGAGCCCGCCAGTCGGTCGCGAGCGCGCCGACTTCGGCTAGACCTGCGGCGTCGGAGGGGTTGGAGGCAGTCGCGATCCCTTCCCCCGGTCCTCCGAGTGCTGCCCACGTCGAGCACGTATTCCCGGACTCGCATCCAGTGCACAATGTTGATTTGTCTGTTGGTCGGGCGAACAGCTTGAAACAGACCGGATATCCGCAGGCGGTATTGCAGCATCAGTTTGTGGTCGCGCAACGTTCGCGTCAGATTACGATGCCGTTGGATATCATAAGTTGATCATAGATTTGGGTACAGTTGTACATATACATACATATATATATATATATATATATATGCACGTAACTCCAGGTTGCAGTGGACAACGAGTTTTGCGATTATATAACCAGCGGTAATCCAATGTAAGCAATGCGGTGTCCGAAATCGCGCGTTCGCGTTAGCATGGCGCCAGAATTGTTGACTATTTGTCGCGAAGTTGTTCGACGCCGTGGGCCGTCACCAGCAGTATTGAAGCATGTCCCCGAGCTAAGTTATTACGAGTGCTTTCATGCATGTTGAGCCTCCCGTATCTCACAGTTTTGCAGGTAGAAGGGTGTGCTTCCATGTGTAGCAAGTTTGAGGCACTGAAGTCGATTTGGTAGTACACGCTGCTCAAGTACAGTCCACGAGTGCTGGCGCGTTGGAGGAGGCGACAGCGATTACCATGTGAACACATCGCTAAATTGACCATTGCCTGGTTCATGTTGATAATGGCTTGCCTGCTTGTATTGCATTCTGACCACCGAATGGTTGCCGATCCACACACACACACAACGCAATCATGTAGCGGAAGTTATAACAATCGACACACGCTGCAAAACGGCCGATTGTATTCACGGGCACGTTCTCTCTCTCTCTCTCTCTCTCTATGTCTCTCTCTCTCTCTCTCTCTTTATTTTGTTTTCTCTCTCTTTATCTCCATACATATCTCTCTCTTCTCTCTCTCTCTCTCTCTTTCACTCTCTCTCTCTCTCTCTCTCTCTCTCTCTCTGTACATATCTATATATGCGTAAGGTTCGTCGCGTTGTATCGGTTGCACCAGAACGCGTAGCATCAAGTGGCACACTGGCGACCCGCTCTATTCCCAACCACCGTGTGTGTTGGGTTATCGTTTTGAACTGAGCGTTGTGGTTTCCTCGTCCTCTCCCGCCTCCCTCCTCCCTGTTCCTCCTGCGCTGCTCCCTGGGTGGCTGCAAATTGCGCAACTGTCGCCACTGTCGTGGGCCCCATGAGAGGCACAGCGGAGTAGGGGAGTGCTCGCACCCAGCCGAGACCTCACAGCTCCCCGGGTGTCTGCGAACTGCGCAGTTGTCTCCATTTTCGTGGGCTCTTGGGAGGCACAGCGGAAGAGGGGAGTACGCGCACACAGCCGAGGCGCAGTTGTCGCCAGGGGAAAACGCGCACCCAGCCGAGACTTCGCAGCTCATTGTGTGGTTGCGAACTGCACAGCCGTCGCCACTTTCGTGGGTTCCGGGGAGGCACGGCGGAGTAGGCGCGCACTTGCATCCAGCCGAGATTTCGCAGCTCCTTGGAAGGTTGCGAACTGCACAACCGTCGCCACTTTCGTGGGTTCCTGGGAGGCACAGCCGAGTAGGCGCGCACTTGCACCCAGCCGAGACTTCGCAGCTCATTGGAAGGTTGCGAATTGCGCAATTGTCGTCACTTTGGTGGGCTCCTGGGAGGCACAGCGGAGTAGGGGAGTGCTCGCACCCTGCCGAGATTTCGTAGCTCTCTGGGTGGTTGCGAACTGCACAACCGTCGCCACTTTCGTGGGCTCCTGGGAGGCACGGCGGAGTAGGGGCGCATTCGCACCCAGCCGAGACCTCGCAGCTCATTGGAAGGTTGCGAGCTGCGCAACCGTCGCCACTTTCGTGGGCTCCTGGGAGGCACGGTGGAGTAGGGGAGTGCTCGCACTCAGCCGAGACCTCGCAGCTCCCTGGGTGAGCGGTAATCGCGCAGCTGTCGCCACTTTCGCGGGCTCATGGGAGGCACGGCGGAGTCGAGGCCCCCGCGCACAAAACCAAGACATTCAGGTTCCTTGGTGGCTGCGAACTGCGCAGTTGTTGGTTGTTTCGCGGGCTCCTAAAGGAGGCACGCGGAGCGGATGGCCACGCGGACTCAGATCAGACATCGCGGCTCCCTGAG